CCAAATCCCAAATCCAAAACCATTATTTGTGACCACTTYCCATTTTACAAGAATCACTCATTCCAACATTCACTATTCTTTAAAACTTTAGAGTTTGGAAATTATTTAGAAGTCCTTGAGGATCGATACTTGGATACCCCATCCATTTTATATTACTCTGGCAGGTGTGCGCTTGCATCTATATAATTGTTACCACGCTTAGTGCGTGCGTTCAGCAAAACGCCCAGTCACTGGGACTCAACTTTGGTAATTCCTAAAGAGATTAGGGTTCAACTTCTATAAATAGGAAGACAAACCAAACCCTAGAGGTAAACCTGAAAGACCTTACTCTTTATATCTGATTACCCCGATATTGACTTAAGCATCGAAGCCCATGTAACAAAAGCCACACTGGTCTCAACACTATTCTGTTTTGCAGGTCACTGTGATCCCTCTCACATCTATAGGAGATTGATGCAAATTTTTGGAGGAATTATAAGGAGCCAAATTCTTACATCAACAATTGGCGTCGTCTGTGAGGATGATTAAGATCTAAAATTCAAGAAAATTCGTGACAACCTTATTGGGTGTGTTGCCCTAAACTCGTAGTTTGTATTTATGTAAAAACAAATGTATATTCAATAAAGTTTTATTCAATAAGTTTGTTGTTGAATTCATAGCATTGCATTGTCCAAAATTCAATAAACTAAACATCTGAGGTTATTTTAGTGTAACCGGGATAGTATATGTACTGGGTATATATTTGATATACCCCTAATATACGAGGTATATATTTGATATACCCTGATATACAAGTGGATAATGTCCCGTGAATAACCTAAAGGGTCTATAGTATATGGATAATGCTGGGTACCTTATCCTGGCAACACTATGGATACGGCCCACTCTGTAAAGGTTACAGACGACTCGATCCAGGTCGTTCGTGTGGAGACATGTCAATGTGGGTATCCTATCCATGGACACGAAAACATTCTACAGTGAGAAGAGTGCAACTGCGAGTCTTTACTGGAACGACGTGTAGTTAACGAATCTTGATTAACTCGGTCAATGAGTTTGACTGATTAATCTTGCATCGTTGGATCTTTTGATCTGTAGGTCCATTAGGTCCCTTTGCTAGCTCATAACGGGTAAAACGATGATCAAGTTTTTGGAAGAATTTGAATTGTTCAAATTTCATAAGGGATTATATGTATATTGATACATTATAATATATAGTTAATTCTAAATTAAAATTTGTTGGGTTTTATGTCCTGAAACTCATAGTTTGAAAATGCCAGATATACTTTTATCTTTCAATAAAGTTGTTATTGAAGGTTTTAATCAATAAGTAGTTATTGATCCAATAAAATGTTCTTACTAGATCTAAATCCAATAAAATAAAGGATCCTAGACTGTTACCTGAGACTCAAACTCTATGTAAGAGACATAAATATGGATCAAGTTTGAGTTAACAGTCTAAATGGTCTATAGTATAGGAATAAGGTTGGGCRCCTTATTCTRGGGACACTATGGATGCGGYCCACTTTGTAGCTAGTACAAAYGATGTGATCCTAATTCRTTCATGYGAAGACATGCGAGTGGGGGTGTCCCGTGCAAAGAGTTTGCATAAGACCAGACCATGATATAGTCACTTTTACTTTATAACACCGTTTACTGTTTGGAACTGACTATCTCGACTTTGATGGCCTAGGTAACTCGATCTTAATCCTGAGCTAATTATGAACTTCTGTTTACTCAGGATTACCCTTAGATCTGCATGGGTGAGAGCAGCTCAACAGCGCTGGCTCAATAAGCCTCCCATTTCAGGGGTAAGGCCCAGTTGATAGCTAGGGACATAGGGTGCAAGAAGAAATTCACTTCTACCCAATTTAAGGATAGTAGAAAGGTTGTTCTCTTAAGGGCTGAATCCAGGTCTTGAACAATAGGCGCCACCCTCATCAAAAGGTTTGAGAGGATTTTTGATTTGATAGTTGGACTACAAATCATTGTTCATTAGAGGATCAGTAGGACTTAAGGAACAAGAGGTAATTACAGGGGTAAACGGTATTTTGACCTAGCTGTAATTACGAATAACCTGTGAAGGGTCAACTTACCAATCATAGTTATATCAAATGGACATAATATATCTACAGTGAAGAGAGTGCAGCTACGAGCTTTAGTGGAGTGACCCGGTAGTTAACGAATGTTGGTTAACTAGGTTAAAGAGTTTAACCGGTTAATCTCGGATCGTTGGAGCTCATAATCTGTAGGTCCATAAGGTCCCCTGGCTAGCTCATATAGGAATAAACTTGGAATAATTTGAAGGAATAATTCGAATTGTACGAATTAGGTTAATCATATGATATATGATCAAGTAATTGATATATGATATCAATTTGAGAAATTTGGACAAAATATTTAAATAGGATTTAAATATTGAAATTATGAATGTGGATTCATAATCGGAGGCATGGATTTCATCAAACATTGGATTTTGGAAAAAGCCAAATAGTTGACTTTGACCAGAGAAAGTCAAAGGTTGACTAAAGTAGATTAAAATAATGTTTTTAACCAAGTTGGTGGAAAATTCCACGAACTTGTTGAGTGGAACATTTAAATAATCTCAAAAATCCACTTTTTGACACTTAGCCATGCATGCATAAGTGGAATGTGTGTTGTAAGCTTTTGGTGAACTTAGAAATGCATTTTGACACTTAGCCATGTCATGCATGAGTGGAATGTGTGTTGTAAGCTTTTGGTGAACTTAGACATGCATTTTGACACTTAGCCATGCCATGCATAAGTGAAATATGTGTTGTAAGCTTTTGGTGAACTTTGACATGCAAGAGTTGCATGTAATTTACTTATTTAAGAAGGCCTTTGTTCAAACATTAAAGGTCTTGGAACCTTTGGCTATTTTTTTTTTAAAAGCTTACATAACTCTTTTTAGCTCCACTTTTCTCTAAATTTTTCCTTCTCTAAAAAGAGTCCCACCACTCTATTCCAAGCCTTGAGAATAGCTAGGAAGATCTCTTGGTGGTCCTTCATTGGAGCTATTTGAAGATTTTTGAAAAGCTACAAAGGTTTGTATTTTCCTCTACTTATCTCTAAGCATCATAATGTATGATCATGCATGTTTAATCCTAGGTTGTATTATGCATCTAGATTGTTATTTCGATTCTTGCTCACTTCCGCTGCGCATGTATGTACTCGTGGAAGCATTTTGAGTCATCATAGCAATCGTTTTGGAGGAACATTACCTCCCTCCATTGTCAACCTTTCAAATCATCTAACATGGCTAGCCTTTGGAAGAAATATGTTAAGTGGAAGCATTCCTACCGGGATTGAAAACTTGATTAATTTGCAAGTTTTTGATTTGGAATATACCTTTTTGAATGGAAGTATCCCTCCTAACATTGGGAAACTTCATAATTTGGTGGAGCTGTATTTGACTGGTGACAAATTAATTGGACCAATTCCATCCTCCATTGGTAATTTATCTTCACTAGTGGAGCTTTTCATGAATGATAACGAACTTGAGGGAAGTATACCTCCAAGCCTGGGACGATGCCAAAGCCTCCAATCTCTTTACTTATCTCATAATAGTCTAAGTGGCATCATTCCAAAAGAAGTTCTCAATCTCTCTTCCCTTTCCATCTTCTTGGCCTTGGATCATAACTCATTTAATGGTCCATTGCCATCTGAAGTGGGTGAGTTAGTTGATTTAATAGCATTGGATGTATCAAACAACAAATTATCAGGTGATATTCCCAACAATCTCGGTAAGTGTATTACCATGGAATACTTGAATTTGGAGGGTAATCAAGTTGAGGGGACAATTCCACCATCTTTGGAAGGTTTGAAAGGTCTAGAAGCACTTGATCTTTCGAGCAACAATTTATGTGGGCCTATTCCCCAATTCCTTAGCAAGTTTCTCTCACTCAAGTATCTCAATCTATCCCACAATAATTTTGAGGGGAAGGTCCCAAAAGGAGTTTTTTCCAATTCAACCATGATTTCCGTCCTTGGAAACGACAATCTATGTGATGGAATACCAGAATTACATTTGCCTCCATGCGCACCCAACCAAACACACTCACCAAACAAATTTCTAGCACCAAAGGTGTTAATCCCTGCMGTATCCACAATCACATTCATTGTTATTCTTTTGAGCATCCTTTTCGTATGTTTTGTGCCTAAAAAGTCAAAGAATAATGCTTCTAACTTCATCTTCCACCAATGATTTTGTGCCACAAATTTCTTATTTGGAACTCAGTAAGTCAACCGACGGGTTCTCTGTAAACAATTTGATTGGTTCGGGTAGTTTTGAATCTGTGTATAAAGGTGTTCTTTCAAATGATGGATCAATTGTTGCCGTTAAGGTTCTAAAACTCCAACAACAAGGTTCTTCCAAGAGTTTTGTTGATGAATGCCACATTCTCTCGAATATACGACATCGAAATCTCCTCAAGATCATCACTTCTTGTTCAAGTATTCATATACAAGGCAATGAATTTAAATCTCTAGTCTTTGATTTCATGTCCAACGGAAATCTAGACAGTTGGCTTCACCCTACAAATCAAGGGCACAATAAAGAAAGTTGAGTCTCATCCAAAGATTGAACATTGCCATTGATATTGCTTCTGGTTTAGATTATCTCACAAATCATTGTGAGACACCAATTGTTCACTGTGATCTAAAGCCTAGCAATGTATTACTTGACAATGATATGGTAGCCCATGTTGGGGATTTCGGGTTAGCCACATTCATGTTGGAAGGAGATAATCAATCTTCTTTTGGTCAAACCATATCGCTTGCGCTCAAGGGTTCAATCGGATATATCCCTCCAGGTATTTTCCTTCCATCTAAACTACCTATTTTTTTTATTAGCAATAACTATTTGATCTTAATTTTTTATTGGTATAATAATGGATTAACAATTACAGAGTACGACATCGATGGCAGAATTTCTATTGAAGGAGATATATTTAGCTATGGAATACTATTATTGGAAATGATCGTTGGAAAAAGACCCACCAACGACATGTTTGGCAATGATGTGAATATTCATATGTTTACTGCAATGACATTGTCTCATGGATTCTTGGATATAATTGATCCTTTTTTGTTATTTGAAGAAACGTGCCAACAAGAGGAAGAAAATGAAGATAAAATACAAGAAATAGCGATGATGGGAGATGATGATCGTAGAGAAATTGTCCCAAGATGGATGGAAGAATGTTTAGTTTCAATAATAAGAATCGGTTTGTCATGCTCCTCAACAATACCTAGAGAAAGAAGGTCCATCGATGTTGTCGTCAACAAATTGCAAGCAATTAGAACCTCCTATCTCAAGTTTAAGAGGACAAGTCGGAGGTTGAATAGATATTTTTTTCCCCAAGCTTAAGGGACAAATAACTCTACCAAACAAAAATTAACTTTTCCTTGCTTTTATTTTTCCTTTCTAATGAGCTTTTTTTTATATACTTTGTTTTTAGAGAATGTTAGTTATTAATAATATTTTAAAAGATGGAATTTATTTTTCTTTTTTTTTTTGGAAACATAAACTATCTTGGTCCTAGAAATTTCTTTTTTTAAACTACAGTGAGTGGTTTACTATTATTGATGTGTGGATTTCGATCCTCCGGTTCTCCTCCTCGCACACACCAAACTTGATTATTCGGGACTAATACCTGCAAAACCAAATCGAACTAAACCGGTGTGACTCTAGTCACACGGGCTCCGATGCCTAAGTTAGCAAGAGAATAATGTGAAAATAGTAAACTTCAGATGCCCTGACCTCTAGGGTTGGACTGCTACTTATAGCCGTGAAGTAGTTTCAGAACCTTCCGTAGCTAACCCTAATTCACAGCTGCAGGGTCTGGGCGAAATCGTTGATCGCAGATGGGAGACTTGCAGGCTGGATCGTGGGCTGAGCACGGGTCGGGATCGAGCCCTTCGTGGCCCAACGGACTCCCCTCCGATCGCAACCTGTAACTTGGCTATCGTCGATTCTCGTTGCATAACAACTATATTTTAATAAGAAAAGCAACAATATTTTGCATCACAAACTCACACGAAAGTATTTAATCAGTGATTTAATCTAATAAAAACATAATGAGAGTTGATAGAATAGTTTATTTTATAATAATTTGATGATTGAAGAATTAGTTAGTCAATAATTTATAATTGTTAGCCACGTAGGCAAATGAATGATTTACACGGTTGATAATTGATACTCTATCTGTATAAATCGTTTGCTATTTTCTTTAGTTAATTTTTTGTAACTATTACCTTTATTTAGAAAGAATAATTATTAAATTGTTAATATTTGCAAATATCAGAGATATTTATTTATTTTTTTAGAATTTCACAAAATAGTAATAGATACCGTTTACAGCCAAACATATACTCATGTTAACTAATTTCTATTGCATAACTTGTGGTCTAATATTAAGAATTATTAACTACAGCATAAAAAAAATCAAGAATTTGAGGGTAAAAAGTGGTAATAGGGCTGAATTTGAGATCGATGAAAATACATATAGATTATTGTTGCTATCTTCTTTACATTTGGTAATGAAGCTTTCTCATCTCTTAATCCAACTTATCATATTCAATTTATTCAGATTAATAAATCTTAAACTTTATGAATATACTTAAAATAGGATTATAGTTTAGATTTGTTGTGTCATGAAAGTAGAGGGCCAAAAGTAAAAGTGATAAAACTCATTACATTATTCAAAATCCACAAGGTACCAAAAAGGGTGATAATTTCTTTAAACAAATACTAATTTATGTAAAAGAGAGAGCAAAGGGATTCGATAAATACAGCCAGATTCGTCAAAAACCAAATACTTTCACAAGATATTTTGTTATAATGAAGAGATCATCAATCCCTTCAAAAGAAAAAAATTAAATAAGGACACCAAAAACCGAAAGAATTGTTCACATGGAACCAAATTCATCCCTAAAAAAGAAAGCTTCTTCAATGCCCAACCATCAACAAAACCATCCTAGTTTCAACATTGATCAACTGAAAGAGGTCGGTCTAATCAACTGACACCCAAGATCCGTTGTCTTATTTATATGGGTGAATGATCCGTTGAAATCCGATTCGAATTAGGGTATCTAATGAACGAAAATATGAGAAGTCTCGATAACATTAAAGCATGATCAAAGGTCGATAGAAAATAAAATAGTGGGAAAAGAGGGAGGGAGGGAGAGAGAGTTCTCTTAGTTTTCTCTTCTCCTCTCCTCTCTGGAGGGTAGGCTTTCTACTCACCTCCACATTTATATACTCTTCCCATCAAAAACAATTGACCTTAGCAAAAGGAGCAACTGAATACAGCTCTACTTTGATTTCGTCTACTTGGGCATCATTTGCATGCTTGTCAAAATTGTCACAGTGGCTATTATCTGGGCTTGATTATAAGTTTGACCTTAAACTTTAAAAAGTATCGTATAGATCTCTAAATTGTAGAAGAATATCCCTAAGATCTATTAGACACTTAAAAAAAAAATTCAGATATCTATTAGACATAAAATTTAAATTTTAAAAAACCTATTGGACAATTTAAAGTTTGAACTCCGGAGGGATCTTTTTTCTCATTATCTTTTCTACGAACGGTGAATCTGCCTGATCTATTGTCTTCTCAAGATCGTGTCATTTGTCCTTTCATTTTTCACTAAGCTTGTATGCTTTCTTTGTCTGCTCGTGCTGGCTGAGTGACTTCTCCTTGTCGAGCACGATTTCCTGAGATATAGTCGGCTTTCCAAGTAGCTCTTGCTGTTATGTGTTGCTGACTTATCAAATCTGATCGATGGAAGAGACCCGGTCGACAGGAGAGACTTGGAAGAGACCTTGTCCGCGGAAGAGACCTGGTCAGTAGTAGAAACCTAGTTGGCAGGAAAGACTTGGTTGGCTGAGACTTGCTTGACTGGGACCTAGTTATACCTTGACTGGTCATGCCCTGGACCTTGTTATGCCTTGACTGGTCATGCCCTAGATCTGGTCATGCCTTGGACCTGGTCGTGTCCTAAAGTCTGGTCATGCGCTAGATCGAGTGATGATTAGGCCATGACCAGTGATGTAGTTTTCGCCTGTCGAGTCTTATTTTGTCTTTCCATGGTAGCCTCCACTCTCAAATAGAACACAATAAGCATAGGTCAAATGTTAGACTTCTATATTTAGAGTATTTATTGTTTCGTTTAAAAAAAATGTTGTGTTATGATACATTGACTTTTGCAATATAATTGATATTATATTAAGAGATAATGTCTCCGGAGTAGAGCTGTTTTAGAAACTTATTTACACAAATGCCTAAAATTTTCTAATTTTACACTTTTAGATTTCTGAATGTAGGATTTCATTTTAATTCCGATTTTACTCTTTTTTATTGCGTTTGCATTTATTATGTTTATTTGTTTTGTTTAAATATAAAAGATTTAATTCCATAAATTATTATCATAATTCTTTAATTATTGTGATCCCATACTAATTTTCAGCACAAACCCCTTAATTCACTCCTTCAAAACCTTAATTCACTCCCACACTGGTACTTAATCAAGGACAATTCAAAATCACATAAACATCTTTTGAAATCTCAATAAACATATATCCGCATATTCAAAAAATATATTCAAAATCACAGTATATATCCACATATATACATTCAAAATGACTATAGTATATATCTGCATATCTGCATATATACAAGTTGAGTTATAAGATATATCATAATCAAACTCACTATAATATATATCCTCATATATACAATACTTCACCTGAAATCTACAAATTGTTCTTTAATTAAAATTAAAAACAAACCTAGAAGAAAAGAAAAAACCTCCAGATTTCCCATTTTGCAGTTCGAGGAAGCGCAGTGCAGGGTCTCACAACATCCGCCATGGATGCTCGTAAGAGACCTTCAGCAAATCCATCTCAAAAGAACCTTTTCCCAAAGAAATTGACAACACCCATCACAGCAAACCCTCAACAACTGATGATCCGCCCATTGCGCCACCCAAAATGTTTAAAATTGAAACCTAAATATAGCAGAAACTACCGGAGAATAGGAACCGACGGAATGAAATGCTCTATGACAAAGAAAAGTGGAGCCGCTGGAGAGGAAGGGAGACAGCGACGAAGAAAAGCGGAGCCGCCGGAGAGAAAGGAAGACAACGATGAATGTCGGAGAAGAGGAACGAAGGTTTAAGAAGAAGGAAGCCCGACGGTCGGAGGAAGGAAAGAAAATCGAGGGAGAAGAACGGAGGTTTCGAAAAGTTAGGGGTTTTGGGATATTTCAATTTTGGAAAGTGTAATTAGCATAATATAAGGGATTTTCTCCCAATTTACCAATTCTATATTTTAATAATTATTTAATATGGAGATAGATCTTATGGATATATTAGTAATTTGTGTTATAGGTATATCTAATTAGGGATTCTTTTATGACAAAAGTATAAATTCTATACTTTTTTATTCTTTTACGTAATTATGATTCTTAAATAGATTAGATACTAACGTGGTAGTGGGGATTGGGGGCCGTAGAAAAGGAAAATTCAAAATTGGTCTTTACTCTCACGTTAATTCCAAGTGATATGGATTGGGGAGAAATTGATGGAGACTAGTTGAAATGACCTTGTTTATTAAAGAAGCCACATATTATGAAAAAGGTTATGCACCCGTAATAGCCTCATTTATTTTGAAAAGTCACAAGCTAAAGAAATTAAAGAGAATTGGTCAAGAGAGAAGGATTCTTAACAAGTTCGTGAGAAATTTTGTAAGAGAGAAGTCAATAAAAATGATTGATCGGTGGAGAGGGACAACTTCATACTTAAATGTAAGAAATTGTGCAAATATCATTATCTAAAATTTAGTCCTTATTTGATAAGCTTTTTTGTTTTTTTGTTTTTTATTCTTTGTTTTTAGTTTCATGTTTTTAAAAAAATAAAAATCATATATGTTTTATAATTGTTTTTTATTTTGAAAAACTGAAAAACCAAACATATATTGGATAACTATTTTTTAACCAATCAAATTATATTATGAACTAAGTTGATCTAATAAGATTTTGGCCACGTATGACATAAATTGGTCCAATAAAAATTCGTCACGTCAATTTGATTACATAAGCTGACTTAATTGGATTGTGGCATGTGGTCAATAAACTTAAAATTAGATGGATCCAAGCCAACCTAAGACCTATAAAAGATCCTATAAATAGATATAGGGTTCATTCACTATCTAATCATCCTGCAAAGGATCAAAATGCTCCATCTCGCATAAGATCATCCTGCAGAGAAGAGAATCAATCTTGAAAAAAAATCAAGGAGAAGCCAAAGAAATTGTATATGTCTTAACCAGTGATTCGTTCATCAAACAAAAGAGCTCATAAAATTTAAATTTCCTCCGCCCTAAGCCTGGTAGAAAAATAACTAATATACAAAAACCATATTCAATTCTAATAGCCAAATGCTCCAAAGTTTCTTCTTAATGAAATTTCATTCTCTCCAAAAACAAAAAATGCTCCAAATTTTAATAGTTTTTTTTCCTCTCTCTCGTGGATCAATCAATTGGAAGATTTTCTTTAGTGGAAATGGTCAAATCGCGTGGAACCTAAAAACGTCCGAAAATTCAAAATTAAGTAATTTTTCTACTCAAAGTAGAAAGCACACTGTTTTGAATGTGACTAAAAATCGTGACGTGAGAGAGGTGGAGGTAAGACAAAAGTTTGATTTATTTGAACATTCACGTGAAGGTTGAAAGCAACAAGTTCTTAATTCTTCTGCCAAATAATTTTTAAGAAGTAGGTTGGATGTCATTCATTAATAAAAAAAAAATGTATAATTGTTGTAAAAAAAGAAACAATTAATAAATAAATAATTTATAATTAAAAACTTTTATAATATAAAAGATTAAATTGACTACGACTAAAACATATACCATAAACTTGACCAATGTATCAATTATGACACGCTGAAATAGAGTAGGAGCGGGGGTATAAGAATAAATCGAGTGTCGGGAGGAGAATTAAGAATATTTTGAAGCATTCACATTTTTATATGGATGATAGATTTTGCACATTATTTAATAAAATAATATTTTTTAAAGTAAAATTTCAAACTTTATATTATTTGATTAACTATTTATTGAATTATAATGAAAATGATCCGAATGAAATCAATGAGAACGTTATTTATTTAATGTTGTTTACCACAAATTTTCTAAAATCGGAATCAGAATTTTTTTATGTTGTTTACTAAAGCTGTCTAAAATCGGAATCGAAATCAGATATACGATAATTACTATTATACCCCTCTCGTCTTTCTAGCTAATTACAAATACATTGTGCTAATCTTTTTTAAAATTAAAATAATAATGCATTTTAATTTATTTTATCACTATATTATTTATAGTAAATATTTTTTATTATAATAATTTTTTTAATATTAATGAATAATGAACAATTAAAATAAATTATATCAAATAAAATATATTTTTTTATTAGAACAATTATCACTTAATATAAAATATTATTAATTTTATCATTATAATATTTAATAACAATGAACTAATATATATATATTTTTTCTAAATGTATTGATATTAATTAATAATAACAAAGTAAAATTAAAAATTTAAATATAAATTTATAATGTTTTATAATAAAATCATATGAAACGATAAAATTTTATGTAATTTTTTATTAGAATAAAAATTATTTTGTATTATAAATGTAAAAAATAAAAGAAAAATAAATAAAATAATTAATTAAAAAAATTATGGATCTTATTATTAATAAAAAAAGAAAGAAAAAGTAAAAAGAGTAAAATAATTATAATAAATATGTGGAACCTACGCAATAAATAAGAAAGGAGAATGAGATGGATGAAAGTGCATAAATGAAATTTAGATTACAAAATTGATCCCTATTTTGATTCCATTCCTAAATTTTGGTATACACCGTTACTTAAAATGAAAAATATATATATATAATAATAATAAATAAATAGAAACAATTAGTGCTATCGAAAGTATTTAGGAAAATAGAGGAATGCGTCGCATTTTCCTCGACCGGACTTCACTTTTTATTTTATTTCTATTTTATCTTTTTCAATGTCCACTTAAAAAAACATAAATTCTGCTTGTCCTTACAAATCTTTTTCATTATTATTATTTTTGAAACTTGGATGCCTTTGACGCCCTAAAACAAATTGAATGAAGAACTATAATATTTTATTTTTAAACTTTACCCTTTAAAAATCTAACAAAATCAACTCTTTTTTTTAGGGACTGATTTTGTGGGATTCACAACTTATGTGAAAAATACATTATTAAATTAAATTTCATAAATTGTATTTTTATTAAAAAAATTTGAAGGTCTTCAACTTATCTGAAAGATAGATTATTAAATTACTATTAGTAGTGGTGGATTGAAGTTTAATTATAAAAAATGATTTTATTAGATTTTTAAGAGTCCCATAGTATAAGCAGGATGAAAATATGAGAGTTCATAAATAATGTAATTTTGAAGAGAATAATAATTGGTTTTTGTTTTTGTAATAATACGAATTATTTTAAGATTTTAATATTTGTTTGAAATATATTTGTAAATTTAAAATTTTAAGTATTTTGAGGCCCTCCTCTGTTATATATTTTTTGTTATTATTTTTATTTTTAAACTTTGCCTAAATGCATCCCTAAAAAATCTAACCAAATTAATTTTTTTTGAATAAAAAATAACAAATTTAATTTAATAATTTATCTTTTAAACAAAGTTTGGAATTGGAATTGGAATAGATATATACAATTACTAGTAAATTAAAAAAGAAAAAAATGTAATTGATTTCTTTGCTTTTTCAAAATGTGCCACAACCACCCAATCGCCATTTGATTATAATATATAATAATGGGTGGGGCCGACCTTCTCTATTTGAACCTTTTAAAGCTCAGCTACGGCCATTCAATGAAAACTCCAAAGACATCAATAATTCGAAAAKCTTATCCTTGCAACTAAATTTTGAGAGACTGATGGAGTACATGAATTGTTGCAGTGCCAAGAGGATTGTGCGTATACTTCTATACGCTATCTTTTTTATGCTCGCCTTGAGCTCCGATTTTAGTGCTTCGGGAAATGAATCGGATCGTTTGACTCTACTTGACTTGAAAAGTAGAGTAGTGAATGATCCATTCAAAATCGTCAGTTCTTGGAACGATTCTTTGCATTTGTGTGATTGGGTTGGGGTAACTTGTAGTTCCACTACTGGAAGAGTAGTGGTGTTGGACTTGGAAGCTCGGAAATTGACTGGTTCGATACCCCATTCTGTGGGAAACCTCACTTATCTTGTTGAGATCAGGTTGGGAGACAACAACTTCCATGGCGGAATCCCCCAAGAGTTGGGTCAGCTACTACAACTGCGTCATCTCAATTTGTCCTTCAATAACTTTAGTGGTAAGATTCCGACGAACATAAGTCATTGCACTGAACTTGTTGTTCTGAACCTTACCACCAATAGGCTTGTAGGTCAGATTCCACACCAATTGTGCGCGTTAAGCAAGTTGGAACTACTAGCACTTAGCCGCAATAATCTGATTGGAMCAATCCCATCTTGGGTAGGAAATTTATCTTCCATATCTCGCTTGTCGCTTGCACGAAACAAATTTGAAGGAGACATTCCTAATGAAGTAGGGCATCTATCAAGATTGAAATTGTTTACCGTTTATGACAACAATTTGATAGGTACAGTGCCATCTTCATTATATAATGTAACTTCTCTGATTTACTTCGCTCTCACTCAAAATCGACTACAAGGAACTCTACCACCAAATATCGGATTTACTCTTCCCAATCTTCAGTTATTCGTTATTGGTATCAATTATTTCTGTGGGACTATTCCCACATCCTTAACTAATGCCTCCCATCTTCAAATTTTAGATCTTGCTGACAATAGTTTCACTGGAGTGCTATCTCATGACTGGGGCAATTTAAAAGACTTAGAGAGGCTCAATTTTGGAAAGAACCTACTTGGAAGTGAAAAAGTTGGTGACTTAAATTTTATCACTTCCTTGGCTAATTGTACTAGTCTAAGGTTTCTAAGTCTTTTTGGGAATCGATTTGGAGGAGCATTACCTCCCTCTATCGGAAACCTTTCAAATAAGCATCTAATACACCTAACCTTAGGTACAAATATGTTAACCGGAAGCATTCCTACTGAGATTGAAAACCTGATTAACTTGCAAGTTCTAGAATTGAAAGATACTTATGTGAATGGTAKTATCCCTCCTAATATTGGGAAACTTCATAATTTGGTAGAGCTGTATTTGGCTGCTAACAAATTATCTGGCCCGATTCCATCCTCCATTGGTAATTTATCTTCACTGGCCACGCTCGCCATGGACTCTAACAAACTTGAGGGAAGTATACCTCCCAGCTTGGGACAATGCAAAAGCCTCCAATTTCTTTACTTATTTAATAATAGCCTAACTGGCATCATACCAAAAGAAGTTCTCAATCTTTCCCTTGCCATCTTCTTGGCCTTGGATCATAACTCGTTTAATGGTCCATTGCCATCTGAAGTGGGTGAGTTAGTTGATTTGATAGCATTGGATGTATCAAACAACAAATTATCAAGTGATATTCCCAACAATCTCGGTAAGTGTATTACCATGAAATACTTGAATTTGGAGGGTAATCAATTTGAGGGAACAATTCCTCAATCTTTTGAAGCTTTGAAAGGTCTAGAAACACTTGATCTTTCAAGCAACAACTTATCAGGGCTTATTCCCCAATTCCTTAGCAAGTTTCTCTCACTCAAGTATCTCAATCTATCCCACAATAATTTTGAGGGGAAGGTCCCAAA